CACAAGGGCAAAATCCATTTTCGTATACATACATAAAATATACCATATAAACTACTGTCCACCCGATAAAAAAAAATTGATTAGTCTCTGAGGTATTGTTGGATCAATACTGGCGGAAGAATGTTATCAACCTCTAGTGATATTAACTATTTGGTAGAATATGGTTATTTCGAAACCATTCCCAAACCTAATCTGGATGACAGAAATGTATGTAAAAAAACTAGTTTTTGAAGAATCCCTTTACAGAAAGCATGAAAAAAAGCATAGAATATCCAACCAAATCATGAAATGTCATCAAATAGACAAGGTTAGACTATAAGAAACATGCAGTATGGAAACTGACCGCTATTCTTGCCTTAGAACTTAGTTAAGTTCTCTAAATTACGATTTAACGCTCTGGCGCAGACGAAAACATGGCTCTGTTGGAACGGGATAAGAGGGTGGTGTGGCGAAGGCCTCATCGCATAAATTCATAGTCACAACTGCAACAAAATACTCCAGTTTCAAAAAGCCGATTCGAGAGTTTTACGAAATTTACAAATTACACGAAATAAAAGGCAGAACAACAATAAGGATGTTTAAAACTCAGTTTCTTTTTCGTATCTTAATGCCAAAGAATCAGAATACCTCATTGTGCTCATATCGAAGACAAGTAAAGTTAGAAGTCGGAAGAGGACTTACTTTTCCTCCCTGCCAAAATAAATGCTGCAGCGGCTCCACACTGGATGGTACGACGTGGACCCGTTTTGTGTTGTGAAACGGATGACGACAAAGAATGCGTTCATCGACCTTGGGAGGTGATTCATCCTGCCGCATGAGAATATCAAGTATGGCCACGCCTACATGCAATAGCACGAAATGCAAACGTATGTGCATGCACGTTCGTAGGCGCAAGCGAGATAATGAGATAGAGGAAAGAAAATTGAAAATCGCGTAAAGCTCATTCGTACACTTGATTAGAATAAAATAAAGGTTTATTCAAGTCGAAAGTATGCGATAATAACCCGTTAGAAGAGGACTGGCATTACGACCACAATAGTTTAGGTGACGACAAATTGAGCCAAGAAGTTAATTGAAGTTTGCTATGTTGCCAATTTGGATTAGATATTATTCGAAGACTTTGAGTATGATGATAGATAAAAGTCTTCCGACAACTACATCCCAGGCTTTTCTATTGTGCATTGACTGCTAACCAGCTGACTGGCATCCGCCAAAAACTGTTGTCCTATATGCCAACTTGATTGCTCTTTTGTGTCCAACTCAAAAGTGCAATAATGATATAAAAAGTGAAAAAGAAAAATAAGGCTGAATATCAGGTAATGCAAACTTATTCGAGTAAAGTGAAGTACAAGAAGGTGACAACGCAAATATAATGATTGGAGAAGTGGCCATAAATTTGGATCTAGCGTGTGGAAGCCAAAAAGTATGCGTAAGTGGAAACACGCTAAATAACATAACAGTTTGTTTCATCAAGAGAGATATGTGTAGGATGTGTGCGTAATGATGACGATGACGGTATGTATTGCTCGTGGAGTGGGAGAGTTCAGAGAAGGTACTTATAATTTGCACCAAAATGTATCGGGTAGGTTGGCTAATTTAGAAAAGATGTGTGTGCTAATGAGAAGTGTGTATGGCTTAAGTAGACTGAGAGCGCCTTGAATGTGGTTTGATAGCTGACATGAAATGGGTGCCAGTCTCGGATTGTGTGCTCTAGATGAAGAATATTTGTGCTGTGTGTGATGCTGCCTGTGTTCCATGCGTGGTAAGCGAAGCGAGACAGGGGGCTGGCAGTTAGATGGGCCCCTACAACCCTAATCGACCGTTAATAAATAAATAAGATTGTCGAAGGTTCTGCATCTGGTCTAGCCTCCCGTTTTCGTAACCTGGTTATGGTGTCAGGGAGATCTGGAAATAAAGACAGGAAAACTTTCTGTGTCCTCTGCCTCAGCAGTAATGGCATTTTTCGGCATCGAAAAACGTTCTTCGAAGTCGTTCTGTCACCATGGCCAAGTTACGAAAACGAGATCAATCCAGTTAAGCATAGTCTAGAGGGGACTGACTGCAACAAAAATAGGATGCGTGATTTCATTCATAAATAGCAATTTATGATTTACTAAGAGACAGAGTATAATATACTCTCATCACAAAGCTCGGAAGCTTGAATAAAAGCATGCACTGCCAGGGCGGAAAAGATATAATTATCTGGCTTATAGAAATAGTGTAACTACCAGGAAACTAGTCGGCATATAAAGGTCAATCCACAGGTAGAATCACGAAGCCTAAGACTGGAGCTTTGGTATTAATTTCAAGTTGGTCTATCGTGTAAGATTTTCAAGTGCTAGAATGCTATGCCTAATCTATAATTCTTTATGCATCAAAATCCATCTCAATGTACATATGATGTCCATTTAAACTCGTATAGTGCTTTGAAGTGACACTGTAGCCGCGCTCATTGGGCCATCCTTTCGCAGGCATACGTCTTTCGTCTGAGAATACATAAACACAATGTATCGCAGCTCATTCTCCGCCAATGAGATATATCGCTTAATGAGACCCAGAATAAATAAAAATTATGAGTAGGCTTCGAAATTATGCCAATTAAGGTACTACAGATAATTTCGACACATACTCATAATGAAGATAATTAGCGCAGACATATACCGTGTCGCCCTAATGTATGCTGGCCAGTTTCGGATCCCATTGAAGTGCTGGTGAGATGGTGAGACGAAATCAAAACTGCGGTCCACTTTAGACGGGAAAACATTTTGAGAGACAGAAAAAGTGATGTGAAAAACGAAAATATCAGTCCATAAATCACCCTAGGAAACCAAGGGCTACAATATATTTTATATAAAAGCGCGCCAAATTATTCCTCTTTAGATAAGAATCCCCACACCACTTTTTAAGTTATGAACCTTTACCGCAGTAAAGTAAATTGGGTCTACTATAAAAGAAAATTCTGAAAAGGACAGTTCCATTATGTAAAAAAACTGGTTTTGGATAAATCCCTTTATTTCGTTTGAAGAGACGAGGCTTCAAACCTACCTATTTATAATATTGTACAATACAATTCTGAGATCCAGTCTTCGAAGGGACGCTTTTAAATCGCTTTGGAAAAGCTCTACCCTACCACATTGGACAGGGTTCTCCAAAGGGGTTCGCAGGGGACTTATTCAGACAATTTAATCACAGCTCTAAGACAATGTCATTGTTTTTTAGCATCACAAAAGGCGTCTTCACATTTTGCATTGCTTCGGTTGTCTAATCCGGATCCATTTTTCATGTACTTCTTCGCGCATCCAGCAGATGTATATAAATAATACAAACGCACTTGCATTACCACAATATGACTGTGCATCCTGTCTGAATCTACGCACTACAGACCTTAATCCTCCATTTTACTACTTTGTCTCAGGTGGAGGAGTACAAACCTGAAATTTTTTTTAAAAACCAGTAACAAACATGAAGCCTAAGAGACTAGTGTAGACATGATTAAAATAGTTTTTGAATCCTGATATGCTTTCAAATTTTCACTCATTTTCCATTACATCTTAGAGCGTAACCTCATTAGACCTAAGCTCAACTGTGCTCACAAATGCGTCGGTCTCATGAATCTGACTTGGTTGGTTCTCATTGATCAAACCACATGGCTTTTTCTCGATTCTGCCTTAGTCGAGCAAACAACCTGGCATGGCTCTAATGTAGGTATGAAGAGTAACTGGGTTTCGATTAATTTTCTAGTAAGATCAACCTACGAATCTCTTCATCAAGCACTTATATACAAAATGAAAGTCTCCCCATCAATAGCTCTAATGATTGCACTCAGTAAGCCGGAATTCCTTCCCTATCCCTACAATTAGATATCAGTCCAGGAAATGAAGAGAAAGGCTTTTCAAAATCAATGACAATCACAGCAACATCAACCAGCCCGAGAAGATAAAACCTACTATCATTTCCTACCTTCGTTGTCAACCTCTGAACCTAGCAGGACATCGGTAAATTGCAAGCATGATTTTTGTTCACCCGCTTTACTTGCGAGATGACTTTGCATTTCGAAGAAAAATTTGATTTGAAGGAATTCGTGATGTGGTCTCGTCGGAAACAATATTAAGCTTAACACGTGAGAAATAGTTGGATCAAGCGAAGAAGTCCTCGGCTCAACGCCCTGCGACCCCGATGATAAGATGCTAAGCTTTCGTCTGTACTGCCGTGGCAGGCATAATCAGGGCAGAAATGCATACTTAACGAAATAGAGCAAAAATATACTAAACCTTTTATCTTGACTTAGCATATTTTAACCCTATTTCGTGAGGTATGGAATCTTGCTCTGATTATGTCTGTCAAGGCGGTTCAGAGGAAAGCTTAGCACATTTTCATCGAGGTCGCAGAACGGTGAGCCGAGGACTTCTTTTCACAATTCAACAGTCTTTCTTAAGCGGCAATCAACCTTCGAATTTCGGTAAGACCACATCAGGAATTCCTTAAAACCAACTTTCCATTCGAAATGGAAATTCATGTAACAACATATAACTAAGTAAATCTATGAAACCCAAGGTATAAAGACCAAGATGGTGTGGCCTTTTGTGTGGTCGCAGTCTCCTTTCTTGTATAGTGGTTGTTTGACTTAGTTTTCGCAACATGGTCATATTGATAGGAAGACTTAGAGGAACGCACCTAGTCCGGAGTCCATTGTCTGC